AAACAAAAAGACCAGAACACCTCCTCACCAGCAGTCAACACCCAGATAAGCAGAGATTAACACCAGACAAACAAGCAACAAACAATACCCTAATCAAGGAACTACCAACTCAGACAAACAATAAAGCAGTAAACAACAGCCTAATCTAGGAACTGCCAAGGAGAAAACAGCACCCCCACCAACACTGGCAGGGCAAGCTATTGTATATAAACGGAGAGCAAACCCCACTCTCGGGTAGCACTGAAGATGTTACCTAGCTGGGTAACGAAATGTCTGCAAGAAAACAGCCAAGCTCAGAGAACCCCAAGGACTCCACAGTCATCTTGGTCTACTTCCCACCAATTTCCAAAAGAATAGTTGTCTTCATCTATTTCAACAAAAGCAAGGAGTATTATATTAACTTAAAGACTAACTCATTTATTCCACATTTCATTTTGTCCATGAAAGCTTGAACCAGAATAAATGTTAAGTCCTACAAGCCTCTAGTAATTTTGATGGATCATAAGTTGTAGCAAAAATAGGGTAGCAGAACAGAACGAGATTTTTCCCAGTTGGAACTTTGCCAACTCTGCTCTAGAAAGTATAGCTCAATGATGAAAGAGAAGAATGGCTCTTGACAAACCATTTCCAATGCTTAACTCAAACTACAATTCCCAACATTCTTTGAGAAGTGTTGATAGTTAAATTAAATTTTAAATTCAGGTTTGGGTGAAGAAAGGGCCTGTCTGTGGAGAGACAATACATATTGTATCCAGATTCAGCAAAGAAGAGAAATATTAATCATATATAATTGAGCAACTGGTTCTCCTTTCTTATTTGTTTACAAACAATTGCAGAGAGAAGGAAAGTGAGGACAGGCAAGAAAATGACAGGATTTTAGTCACACAAATCACAGTTCCTATCCTTTACAGGTATTAAATATCTGGTGTGAAGCCTAAGAATCTGTTTTCATTATTTCTAATGAACGGCATGCATTCTTAAATGGTCCTTGAGACTCCCCCACTGAGATGTCAGCTATGTTTAGACACAGTTCTGATGCTACATCTTCCTGGATGGAAGAAACTCTTGCCCAGGTTTTAAAGGATAGAATACAGTAGCTGTCTATTCAGCTATCAACTGCCTGAAGGAGGTTGAAAGATGAAACTAGTGAAGGCGTCTGTATGAGGCATTAGCTATATATTTTATTTATTTAAGAAAGTACACAGCAGGACCTGGTTGCCCTAGTCTGGACTGATAAACTAGGCTGGATCAGGCCAAGTTAGTAGATGGAAATCACCAGGAAATGCCAGGGTTGTAGGCTAGACTGAGAAGTTGAAAAGCATCTCAGAAGAGGCTATCCCAAATCCTTTCCATGTGGTTCCAAGAAAACTGGTCTGGATTGCCAGAGTCAATCTTCTCAAAGGTGTCCTTTAAGACTGTGATAGGTTAAAAATGATCAGATGAAGTTTCCATTTCTGTTTCTCCACAATGTCACCTATTATTTTCTGATCACTGAATCTATATGCCACCTCTTGGTCTCTATAAATACTCGACGTAGCTTACAAGTTATTGCTGGAGTCTCAACTGTTCCAGGAACAAGCACTTTATCCAGAGTGGAAGGGGAATAGATTTACAACTCCCATGTAAGATTGATCCCTGATTGATAAAAGATTTCCTTCCTTTCTTCCACCTCTACATCAGAAAATTCTGAACTTTTTATCTTACCATTATTTCCTAAGACAAGTGTGTTAATCCCCCAGGAAAAAAATATCTCTCAAAGAAAAAGTGTAGGCATGTAGAGTAATTTATGACAGAGAGAGAGAGAGAGAGAGAGAGAGAGAGAGAGAGAGAGAGAGAGAGAGAGAGA